GTTTGCAGGAGAAGTATTCAGCCTATCTTCGGGAAACTGGGGTAGAGTTGAATAACATCAACTGAAACTCTTATCTACTTAAATCATTCTCAATTGGTCTGATCTATTTCTCCTTCGTTTTGTCATCGCGAGGCGAAACGCAAATCATCTCGGAATTTGAAAGAAACAATAGATCGCACAGTATTGGAGCTTACTCTACTTCGGCACCATATTCTCTGGGAGCTCCTGTAAGGATAAGTACTCATTCAACATCAACATCATATATGTTATTACATGTGGCAGTGTGTGGCCGTCTAAACGCATACGTACGAAATGCATGGCCAGGGCAAACTCGTTGATATCCAACTTCCCATCACGATCTACATCTGCTAAGTTCCATATTCTGTGCAATACTCCAGACGGAAGTTTGCCTGAATGTCAATATATTCCCATTTCGAACGTGATAGGACATTCATTACTCTTGAGCATCTCCTGCTTAGCTCGGGCACCAGACAGCTTACCATCAACTGGATCAGGACCACATGACTCGAATAGTGTCATATACCTAATGATATAAGCGCCCATACAGTCGGGTATGGTTCACTGCTTCTCCTCACTCTGATATATCTGGAGGGCCTGATAGCCAAGTGGCAGCACCGAAGTCGTCAGCCCAGGGAGATGCTTCCCCTTTACCAGGCTGAGAATGGTATTAGAATGACACAGAGAGAGATGGTACTTATTACATTAGCAATGCCGCCTCTGAAGATATCTGGTAATTCCTTATCATCACGCTCTCTAGGTATCATCTTGAGTAATGCTGGTATATCATCAGATAACACCTCATCAATATGCTCTAAGCTTCGAGCCTTCTTGATCTTACCTGAGCAGCAACTCGATGCCATCACGCATCGAGCATGACGATATATTACTGAAATCGTAATGTGCTAACTCTTTGCGCATATAATTCCACTGAAGGAAGTCACCATAGGAAGGTTGTATCTAGTTATTAACATGAGATTAATAATACTATCCTTCTATACTAGTACTACTACTTCTTGAGACTGCTCATACACCATATCTAGATGATCAATGAGCTCACGCTTCTTCGAGTTCTTCCCAAACATAGAGGGCATCTCGTGTTTAATGTATGTCATCAGACAGGCATGGGTCTTAGCTAACTGCATTATTGGTGCATCACTATGTATGCCTGGGTGTATGGTGATGATCACTACCTTGCACGTTTTATTAGATCATTTAGTTTCCTGAGAGCAGCTTCTTCAGGTAACTTGGCTATATCTGCATATAGGTCCGACTCTTCCTTCTCGAATAGGCTCCGTTGTTCATCATTATTCAACTTCTCATCCCAGAACGACCCGATGAAGACTCTTGATGTCTGAACAATGTGTAAAATGATAAGCCAAATGACCATGACCACTACCTCAGGAGTATTGATAACCTTACCAAGTGACCACATAAGGGCACCATACACCCGCATAAGCTGCTGAGTAGTTACCTAAGCATACACTTCCAGTGGCATCGTCCGCTGAAGGAGGGCAGAATATAGATGATCCAATATTACCATATCGCTTTTATTAAGAACAATCCTAATCTTATTCTCATTCTGACCACATGCTAGAATGCATCGACGGAATTCATCAGATATATCCAGTTTATGAGCATCGAATAGTAGCAGTATCATATCGACTCTATCAGCAAACCAGTTTACCACACCTAGAAGGATACAGAATCCTCGGAGTGTAGATAGGGTTTAGAATGACCTTCAAAATCATAACCCCTCTGCAGCCTCTGTTTTTCCCCTGATAATATGCCAGGTGTATCGATAAATGATACACCCTGTAAAACTGGTGATCCCTCCATCCTGAATAGCAACGACTATCAAGCCTTCCAACATGCTACTGGCTCACATCGATGCCTCAAAACGATTCATGAAGCCGTTGCCGAACTGCCCGAGTTGTGTGAATGGTAGTGTCCGATCCACTACCAATGCATTGCCTGATGATAAGGATCATTATGGTTCTTACCACTCGTAATCATAGTACCAGGTATAACATGATCCCCTCCACCTGAGGAGCTACTATCCATAATGCAGCAGAACCTACGATCGACGGTATGAGCCAATGTATGAACACATTACGTCAAATTACTTGTCGGTAGTGGGCTCTGGTCCAATCCTCATACCAGGATAATCCCTCTCTAGGAGATGCCTTATGAATGTAGTCTTACCAGTAGAATATCTGTCATGATAACTATCATCACCCCCCAACCCAATAGATGTTATTACTGTCCTATAAGCATCACCATAGGCTTAGCAGTAAAGTCAGCAGGAGTAAGAGGAGCCGAATAGAAGCGATGGAAGCTGAGGTGGTAGTGGTGGTGACAGGTGACTGTCACTATCATGACAATAATACTTACTCATAGTATTCCTCTATAGGAAGCAACTTATCCCTGTAGATTTGTTCCAATCCATCTGATATGTTACGGAAGGTTTCTGTCTTCTTAGAACGCTCATTATCAGCCTTCAGCCAACGAAGCATCTAGTTGATGAGATGGATAAAATGTAGAAAACAGGTAGTAACTATTAAATACCATGATATATCACGAGTGTTCTATCACATAGTGCTCCTGGACGAAGGAGGAGAAGCTCACACCTTGCTTCTACTGAAGCGTATACAATTTTCGGGCGCGCGCTGAATACGTTTCGTCGGTGGTCCAGCAAACGGAATGGAGTGTGCGATGAGCGGCAAATGCCTGAATGCAGAGGTTGGGGGGATGGTATAAAAGCAGCCTTCAAAGAGATGCTGTACATGTGATGATGGGACGCCGTGTAATATACAGTCCTACTTGGATACTATCATTGCATACATTCCAAGACGCCACAATTCTGTATATCATGTGAGCCTGATGTTAATGAGACTTCTGAAGTGTATATCAGTTGTGCTAGGTATCATAGGTAAGTAGCTAGATGTGGTGTAGGTGATTAGTTACACTTATGCGATGGTTGAATACTGTCATGCATTATCTCTTGAGGTTAATGATAGATAGGGCATGTATTTGTATGCTAATGGTGATGGGTACTCGGGTTAGGTCATACATCGGGTTATCTGCTCATTGTGATGATATGTGTATGGTAGATGGTAGCTCAGTAACCACTCATGTCGAGGACCAGTCACCTATACTACTGGATCATGAACTTGCAATATAGCTTGTATGGACTGTATCCGATGTGAGAAGAATGGTAGTACTTGGGAAGACCACTATCCTACTTCCCTTGTTTATGCCCACACTGGGGGTATTGATATGGTAAAGGTAGCATTACGATAACATGGCAAACTGTACCGATACGAAATCTATTCAGCGAAGAGAGTGACCGCCATACATTTTAGTAGAAAGTTTCCACATACATAAGTAAGGACATTTATTTAGCTTTTGGGACTACATTATTACAGTGTATTTATAGGTGTACTGCACGGTTTCGAGGAACATAACTACGATGGCATGATGTTACGAGGCTAGCAGTGATCAATATCTTCCTCGCCAAGGTTTTCTATCCCCATCACAATGTCCATCATATCGTCCACTTTCCTTCTTCTCCTCCTACAGCTAAGTGTACAACACAATGTGAGGGCTTGGTCCCTCTGGGGGGATTCTGGAAAGGGAGTAATGGCAGTCATCTCTAACTACATTCATCCATCTTTGTCTTATTCCTCAGACGATAAGACAGCTTAGTGAGTCAGACCTGGATAATGATATCCCTAAGAGTGGATTATCATTGGTTATGTTTTATGCACCTGGTTGCCCATATTGTCGAAGTGTGAGTACATTACTAGATCTACTCAGTTGTATCATATCGATGCTTAGTTCAAACCTTTTTTCGATAATGCTGTCGAGAAGCTTGCCATGCATGATCCCCCGATGAGGTTTGGTATGATCGATGGTATACAATACCCTAATGTAATCACATCTGTTCTATGTGCATCAGGCAATGCTCATGATATCAGGCTATCTTAAGGCACCAGATACCGTACTATCCAACAGTGAAGTTATTCATCGATAGTCAAGAGCATCAACTACCTCTCACCGAGATGGATGTTGCTGATCCTAAATGGTAGTAGTAATAGTAGCATGCTGCGATACTACCAGTAGCTGTCATTTCACCTCTCTTGAGTGCTCATTCCCTCAGCGCTGCGAAAGTCGTTAATTGGGTTAATCGTTTTATTCATAAGGATCATGTGATGGAGTCCGTAGGAGACTTTGAGAAGTTTGCCGAGAATAATCCTCTCCTTGCTATTGGCCTCTTTAATGATGAACGAGATGGGGAATTGTAAGTGCACACAACGGTACATTGTAAGTACATCATTATGTATGTAGTTTCAAACACTGTACACGGCACTTTGATGATGTGTTCTTCGCTATAGCATATGGTCAGGTAGCTGAGGACATCGTGGATCATCTATACAACAGACGGTAAGTAACTACTCTCACTGGGACCATCGGTGTATTGTCAGTAAAATAAGCAGTAGACCCGCTGGATTCCCTGCCATCATCCTACTCT